TGTTTGGAGAGAGAGAAGTCTGGGCATCTTTGCTTAGACTGCTGCCCCCGCGACCCAGTCCCGGATAAGTGGAGGAAAATGGATGGATGGATGGATGGATGGAGACCAAAAAGTGAAATCTCTCCTCTCCAAAAGTATTCTGAGCCTTTCCTTAGTGTTCCTAATATTCTGACCCTCTCATGTATCTGGGGAGGACAAAGATATACAGTAGACACCTCTGAATATAATGTGGTTCAGTACAACGCCACCTATGACCTCAATAATAAACATATAGTTGAATTTATATATGATTTCACCAAAACTGAAATATTTTGAGCTTCATCAGCACAGATGTTAAGGTGTAAGTGTTGCACTGAAGTATATTCATCAGGTGTACCTAATAAAATGGCCAGTGAGTGTATAGTGTAGATGGAGAAACAGCTCCTGTGAGCTTTCCTACCCTCGATATTGCTGCAATGAAATCTGTCCCAGCTGCTTTGCTGACCTGCATTGTCCAGAAATATTCCAAAAGAAGGTAAAGCAACACAATGAATGTTATTCTAAGCTTTTTACCCAAAAAAGGTCCGACATAAGGTCACCAACATTTTGATTAGTAACGGCAATTTAACTACATATTTTCTCTCACTAGCTGTAACCAATTACAGTTACATGTATTTTGTAATTTAATTACACTACCTAGTTGTATGTAATTGGTTACTCCCCAACACTGCTGACGAGTATCCTGTGTGGACACAGCGGAGCTCTGTGGCACAGAAGACGGAGACAGAACTGTTAGTTTACTGCTACTTCGAGTCTGTGTGTGACCTGTGTTGACAGACGAACATAAATATTCCCAGTACCTGTCCTTTATTATTATTATCATGATGTGCCACATTGTAGCATGTGAACATTGTGACTTAAAGTGTGACACCTGCAAGCATTTAGCTTGTTAACAGTGACACAGTTGGCACCCAGCTTGCCTGAAGCAGCCAGTATACTTCATCAGAGCTGCTTGTCAGATGGGGTAATTGGTGATGGATAAACCAAGGCTTTCTGAAACTGAATCAGTATGAAGCAGTTGTGTTGAAAATGGGTCACTGTTTCAGAGCATTTTTATCACAGCAAGCCATCCTCTGCTCCAGACAAATAACGCTGGTTTCACTGTGCAGTGGCTGTGAGACGAGTCAGGGACCATCTACAAAGTGCAGCACTGAACAGAGAAAGACTACTACTGCAAAAATATTCAGTGACTTTACTCTTACTCAGTGTGCTGGTACCAAAATTACTTCACACATCAGTGGCTGTCAGCTGGTTATACTGCAGCCCTTAGGAAGAACATGTTTCTTAAGTTGGGGAAATTCTTATTGTGAAAAATCTTCAATAACTTCATTTGTATACTGTAGTGTCACCAAGGTGACACATTAATGGCTGTGTGCTGATTGTACTACAACACTTAGGCTGGAAAAATATGTTTTTGTATAATTTTGGTGAATTTTTTATTATGAAAAACAGGCTATTCAATAACAACACTGTTAGACAGTAGTGTCACCGCAATCACTCATCATCATGGACAGGCTGGAAACTGCATGGAAATGAATTATTTCTAGGAAGGAAATAATTATTATTTGTAGGAAGCAGCATCAGACAAGAGAAGCAAAGCAATGAGACCAAACCCAAACCTACACCCTTGGTATTCTATAAGAAACTGTCCATCACACCTTCTTCACTGATTGGTCAGCTGTGCAATGGTGAGAAAGGAAGCTTTTCTCAGTTCATTTTTACACAACACTTTAGTCCTGTTTCACATGAACAACAGAGTGCAACAACGTGCTTGGCCAACACATCATACGAGCTTGTTCTTCTCGAGCATAACTTGACTGTAGTTGGCCCAGGGGCAGCACATCATGACATTCGCCTCAGGACAAGTTCATTTCAGTATTAAGAATGTATGAAGAGCAAGCTTTTCACTCCATGCTTCCTGTTTTATGTTTTATTTTAGCATTTTAATGAGCATTATAGCCTCATAATGTGGCTGCAAACTTCTAGCCCAAATGCAGCAAATGTGCTGACTTTTGCCAGGTGAAAAACAACTACTGTTACAGGAACTTGCCTCATGACCTTCTTGGTTCTGGATGAAGATTTTGCCTATCTGAGCTAAATACGCCATGGCTCTGCAAAGCTGCTGTTACCAGCAGGAGGCGGACAACACTTTAGCATATCACCTCCCACCTCTGCAGCATGCCCAGATTAATTTAGGTCTGGTTATGTAACAGCCATCTGTGCCGCTTGGCTGCTTCCTGCCGTGGTACTGGTAGCACTGTAGCCTGACTGTGTCAGATGTGCTGGTACTCTACACCAAATGATGGCCGACGGCCCCTCCTCCAACTCACTACAAGGTTTTAATGATCTGTGTGTAAACGCAGAGGTGACCTGTTGGAATGGTGTGACTTGGGCTGCTCCAAAATTTCACCTGTTATGGTGCAGCAGCAGAAATGTAAAATACATTTCACATGTGAACATTTTTGCATTAAATGGACACTTCTCTGTTCATTTCACCACCATCTGTTAAATTCAGTATTTATTTCAGAAATTAAAATGGTCATGCTTTATTTTACAGGCCCTGTGTTTTCCATCTAATGTCCAGGAAACGTTCGTCATCATTGCCTAAAAATTCCCTGGTATATAGTTATCATTTCTAAGATCTTTCTAAGAAAAGCCTACGTAATTTACTTATTGGGTAAATAGAGTTATCATTGAATCTTGTCCTTTAAAGTCAGAAGGCTGAAGTCCAAGTGAAATCAATGATCTTAGTCTTTTCTGGTTTTGTCAGATCTCCCTTTAGGAGCCATTTCAAGATGTAATTCAAGTAATTCCACACCTCTGATTACAAGCAAAGACTCAAAAGGCGAAAAGACATTTTCAGCATATATGGAGCTCCGCAACCTCTGGCCAGATTCCATGTTGTTGAAGAGCCCACGTCCACCTGGTATTGACATGTGATCTGTATCTCCCCATCTTGTCTAGATAAAGAACAAGTGTTTATGCATGTGGAAAACACACCTGTCAGCATCTTGTACCTTAGGACACTTTCTTTCCATCACTCTCATGTTGAGTTAACCCATGTTTGTCTGTACAACAGGATGCGGTAAACAGTGCGATAGATTGTACATATCTAAAAGCTCTTCTTTCACATTGTATATATGTTTATTAATAGCTTATTTTTGTCTTTTTGTTTTATTTAAATGCACATATCTTTAGCCCTGTGACAGACTGGTGACCTGTCCAGGGTGGACCCAGCCTCTCGCCCAGTGTCAGCTGGGATTGGCTCCAGTCCCCCTGCGACCCTATTCAGGAATAAGGGGTAGAGATAATGGATTTATGGATGCAATATATCAGATATTTAATCAAAATTTACTGTGGGTAAATTTAAGTGTCGGGATCCGTATCAGCAGATACTTGGTATTATAGGAATCTTTTTTCTGGTTGACTTAAAAAGCACATTGAGAGCCACTATACCAGAGTCAAATTCTCTGTGTATTCAGCATACTTTGCAAATGAAGATAATTCTGGTTCTTCTTCTTCTCCTCAGGTAACATCATTGGCTCTGGTATCTTCATCTCACCTAAGGGGGTCCTGGAGCACTCAGGCTCCGTGGGTGTGGCGTTGGTGGTTTGGTCACTTGGAGGCTGCATCGCCACTTTGGGCTCCTTATGCTATGCTGAACTGGGCGTCACCATTCCCAAATCTGGAGGTGACTACTCCTATGTCACAGAGATATTCGGTGGCCTGATGGGGTGAGTGAAGGTGCTCTGCTGCACTTTTTCTGCCATCAAGTGTGTGTTTATGAGAAGAGTTCATTGCTGTGTCAGAAATCGCTCACTGATTCACTGCATGTGGAAGACAGTACAATGTGCCAACACCTAAAATTAGTCTGAATGCTACTCAAATCACTGCTGCCCTTCTGGAAGTGAACTGACCTTTTCTTGGTAATTAGCCTTAGGTTAGTAGCCTAACCATTGATTTTATGCTTCTTCTTACAATGAATCGTGGTCTTGTTTGAGGACACTATATTAGAGCAGGTGTACACCATACATTGTGAGGATGTACAAACTTATAAATACAGTACCTGGGTACTGTGAAGTCCCAGACTTCTTCTCGAGTCCAGATAGTGGAAAGAATTTCAGTCACACACACCAAATATCAAGTGCACATATTACCTTTATTTCAGATGCATCTGGAGATCACAGCCAGCAGCAAAGCAAAATGATCTGAAGTGAAATTACCACAACTGTGTAATATATACTATTCTTCCCTCCTCCTTACACATTCCTACTCATGCTGATCATACAGCTGAAACCAATTGATGTTAGCCAAAAATTCTTTGTCATAATACACAGCTGTACCTCCCTGAAACCAAAGTTACATTCTTGTGATAAATCAGGCACACACACAACGATTTAATAAGCATACTGTGAGATTGTGAAGATTATATTATTAAAACTTATCCTTTTAAGTGCATTTAATTTACTTTCCCTTTGATTACTCCCTCTAAGCAGAGCAGTGCTAGGCACAACTCCCCAGAAGTGCATTTAATAATGAAGTGAATTCATACACACACTTCAACCATGTGAAGGTTATACTTTTATCTCATAATGCAGTGTCTTATTAAAGTAACAATTTCCAAACTATATTAGTGCTTTAGTTACAGTGCCTTGCGAAAGTATTCGGCCCCCTTGAACTTTGCGACCTTTTGCCACATTTCAGGCTTCAAACATAAAGATATAAAACTGTAATTTTTTGTGAAGAATCAACAACAAGTGGGACACAATCATGAAGTGGAACGAAATTTATTGGATATTTCAAACGTTTTTAACAAATAAAAAACTGAAAAATTGGGCGTGCAAAATTATTCAGCCCCCTTAAGTTAATACTTTGTAGCGCCACCTTTTGCTGCGATTACAGCTGTAAGTCACTTGGGGTATGTCTCTATCAGTTTTGCACATCAAGAGACTGAAATTTTTGCCCATTCCGCCTTGCAAAACAGCTCGAGCTCAGTGAGGTTGGATAGAGAGCGTTTGTGAACAGCAGTTTTCAGTTCTTCCCACAGATTCTCGATTGGATTCAGGTCTGGACTTTGACTTGGCCATTCTAACACCTGGATATGTTTATTTGTGAACCATTCCATTGTAGATTTTGCTTTATGTTTTGGATCATTGTCTTGTTGGAAGACAAATCTCCGTCCCAGTCTCAGGTCTGTTGCAGACTCCATCAGGTTTCCTTCCAAAATGGTCCTGTATTTGGCTCCATCCATCTTCCCATCAATTTTAACCATCTTCCCTGCCCCTGCTGAAGAAAAGCAGGCCCAAACCATGATGCTGCCACCACCATGTTTGACAGTGGGGATGGTGTGTTCAAGGTGATGAGCTGTGTTGCTTTTACGCCAAACATAACGTTTTGCATTGTTGCCAAAAAGTTCAATTTTGGTTTCATCTGACCAGAGCACCTTCTTCCACATGTTTGGTGCGTCTCCCAGGTGGCTTGTGGCAAACTTTAAACGACACTTTTTATGGTAAAACATGTGTAATTACGATACCCAGCACTAGC